TACGTGTCAGGGGTGGGAAAATGGCCGCGGACTACGTGTCAGGGGTGGGAAAATGGCCGCAGACCCCGTGGCAGGGGCGGGAAAAAGGGCGAGTATCCTGTTCGTACCCTGAGGCGGAGTTCGCAAACCGAAGCAAAATTTTGCAGCCGGAGCTGGTCATAACCCGAAAAGTTCATTAACAGAAGCGTTCATAACCCGAGGTTCCACTGTACTAAGATATTACACTTGGGTGAGCCTTCTTTGGGGAGTGTTTTATATTCAGTTAAAGGTGTTCATCAGATATTTCCCCAATTTCCTTGAAAATTTAAATTGCCAGAGACCTTAATGGGTTTTAATTTTACTGTTGTAGCTTTACATGGATGTTACAGTATTTACCCTATGATTAATGTGCTTGTGGTTATTTTTCTGAAAGCAGCTGTAGGAAGCGGGGGGGGGGGTTGACAAATGAAGCATGAGATACTCTTTTAAAAATGAAAATAGGAATATCTTCCAAATGGAAGATTTTAACACCATATGCTCCACAAACTTTAAAATACCTCTTTAACTCCCCGTTTCATCTCTTAAGGAAAGACCAGCAGATAATGAAGAATATCACAAATGTTCTTTCTTCACTGATTTTAATGTTCCCCGCTCGTTTAAGGGGACTGTTCAGAGCTAAAGAAAATTAATTCATTGATTGTAAAGGGCAATTAGAAAGCATGACAAAGCCAACTGCATAAAAACAAAGCCCCTTTATAACATCTTCAGCTCCTTCCGTTGTTCCCCCATGCCTTTTCCCATTAAAAGTTCTTATTTAGTATGGGTTTGTACACATTTTCCATATTGTTTGATCTGCTTCATTTGATCATTTTGCCTGATCTCTGCAATTCCAGGGCATTGGCTCTTGTGCTAGAAGGCTGCCCACCGTGCCAATATTTTAGTTATAACTCTGCAAGCGCAGGAAAAAAGTGACATTTGGAAACACCTTTAATCGGCCAGGAGGAAAGCAAAATCTGGAAAGATTCCTCCTAAGCATTCAACCACCACTTGGGTGCTTGGCATGTGGCCTGTTTTCCATACAACGGAAAGGCCCAGATCTCACATGTAAATGATCTGCAAAACTTGAAGGAAGCCACTGAATGAATGCATACGTTAAACATCTAGGCACCAACACGTGCTTCCCCTTGCATCAGTTCATTTCACTAGCCTTTTCATGAGCAAAAGAGAACTGGGGTGACTCCCAGAAAGGAAACAGGACTGCAATGAGGTTCCCGCGCCCAACCAGATTCCCCATTTGTGCACCTGTGATTGGGCACTCATACCGGATCAAAACCGACCTGCCGCGTAGCATTTTCAGGTTACAAAAAGCACTTGCCCCAAGGATCAAAAGTAGAAACAGATGAACCATGAAGCTCGATTCAAGAAAGGCTTTTTTACATGGAGGATCGCGCTAATGGAAGTAACATCACTTGGGCAGACCAGGGTCACACAGAGTCAATCTTCAGCCCAATGAACTTTGGCAGGTGATGGTTAGTGGTGCTGCCCTCTGCTGGAGAGAAGCCAAAGTGCTCCACGGGAAAAATTCATCCAGTGGTCCAAGACTTAACTTCACCCAGGATTCCTATGGGTGAGTCATCCACGCTTTCACTCCACTGTCATCACTGTTGAATTAAACCTAGCCAGGTTTAGAAGGGCTACAAGCAGAAGTAAAAGATTTGGGTCCACATCACAGGCAGCAATCTCTCTACTGGGGCTGGAGCTATCATCTGCCAGAACACTGATTAGCTGCATTCTCGACTGGATCGGATTGCAAGCTGAGAAGGGGATTTTTATATCCAGCCAGATTTTTCTGCATGGCTCTGCTAAAACCCTTTATCAGTTTGGGGCCAGTCAAGGTGTCAATTTCCTCATCTGACTCAGGAAGCCAAATGTGCTTGGTTAGCCTTGGTACGATGCGGTCGCATCTGCGGAGCAGGGCGAGAAGGACAAAGCCACGTTGGCACAGAAGCCCCACCCCTTTTGCAATGTATCATGACATCACCAGCATGTTCAAAAGGGGTGGAGCTTGTGGCACAGTGGTGCAAAGCGGCTTCTGTCATTTTGACAAAAGCAATGAGCTCCTACAGACGCCCATCGTATGAGGTCAGAAGACAGGGCGGCAGGCACTTTGAAACTCCACCCTTTCTCTGAAGCTCCACCCACTGAAGTCCCAGGACTCTGGAGGTGCCACTGCTTCAGAAGACTGGAAACAAATGCCTGCCTGCGTGCCTTACCCAGCATTGGGCCTTCACAGGCCAGATTAGGGCTGGAGATTCTCCACGCGGGCAACACACCAAGCCATACATTGGCAGGACACATCAGCCTCCCCCAGCATGATGGCTCCAGTTTGGCTGGACTTCCAAACGTTACAATCCCCAGCCAGCAGGATCAAATCCATGGCTGAAAAAAGGGCAGGAGGAGAGACTCCAAAGCCAAGGTCACATCCTTTCCACCTTCCAAGCTGACACCGGCAGCAATTAATTTTCTTAATAACGCTGCTTACTTCAAATAAGACAAATCCCCGATTATCCTTCTGTATTACACCCGTGGGTCATCACACATTTGATGATGTTAGAAACTCCCGCTCCAGCAGCCAAAGAGAAAATGAAGATTTCTGACTACATCTCTGGCTCCCGCTATTAAAAACCACAGGCCCTTAGGGAACTGCGCAATCACTGTCAGCCTAACTATTAAGATTGCATTATTTATCATCACTTCCAAGAGACCATCGTCCCTCTGTCTCACCAGCTCCCTTCTCCCCTTTGAACTCTTCCTTCCATATGGGCTCAAATAGCCCTTTCATCTGCACTCAGAGGGAGCTACTGTTGTCCTTGCCCAGCCACAGAAAAGAGAGGGAATTTGCCCTTCGCCGGCAGATTTCTACAAAGACAAGCTTTTGCACCTCCGCACTGCAAAGCTCGTCGAGAGCTCATCAGCTGGGTGGATCTGTTGATGAGATCACATCCCTTGAGAAAAGATCTGCAGAAAATTGCAGGGCAACACTCCAGCAACAGAAAAGGGGAAAGGCAACTGTCTGAGACCCTGGGCTGCAGATAATACTGGGTTCGAGAGATTCTGTGCAAGGCCATCCCAAAAATTTTTGCTGGCTACCCATTCAGAAGTTGACCTAGAAGTACATTAAACTTATTTCAGGCCTAGCTTCTTCCACCACACCATTGTCTGGAGGTCTTGGTAGCGTCTTTAAATAACTTAAGTCCAACAATGTAGTTACTTGCCCGTTCCAATAGCCTTTCTTCCCCTGGCATTCATTGCATGCATTTGGTCATGCTGGGCTGGGAATTAATAATCAAGGCATCTGGGGAAGGTGATTCTGGTACTCTCCTTGCCTTCTCCCATACTTGTACAGGTAAGCTAGAATAATCCTTGTCCAGTGGCTGGGTTGTGAGAACAAACTGATAGGAAAAACATCTACCATCTTGCAATGGGGAGAACCACCAAACTCTTGCCATTTTCAATGGGAAAAATCTCCCTTCCTACCTTTAAAAGCCAACTGTGTACCCTAAAATCCTGTTCCGGAACTAACAGAAAGAACCACTGCTAGTGAAAAGAGGCTTGCTACTGAACACAGCTATCAATCCTACATCCGCTTCTTTGCATATTGATTTAGTCACACCTACAATTAAGGATCGTCTTGGAGAAGGTCCTTCTATGTGGTTGTTAAGAGTCAATGTCAACTTCATGGCAATAATCAGTCCATCCACAATATTAAGGAAAGGCACAGAGGCACAAGGGTGGTTTTGGGAAGTTCCCCCTCCCAGACTTGTTTCCTTCTATGAATACAATCCAAATTGGCTGTGTGATCTCAAATGGCATAATTGACAATGGTGAAAGCCAATGAAATAACATCCTACGCCAGAAGAACTTCATTTGTCCCTTTCTTTGGTAATACGGAAAGAAGGAGGGAACTGGATCTCTCACAATTTCTGTTCTTTTTAGAACTATTGCCTTGGTGGGAGTCCCAGATTGATCTCATAGTAGCGGTCATGGTTAGTACTGAATGGGGGACCATCTGTGAAACCCAGGAGAGCAAGCTAGACTAAGAACTTGAGAAACAACCTGGAAGAAGGCAACAGTAAACCAAGTCCCTAAACCTGCCAAAAGAACTGCATGGATGCAGCCATCAGGAGAAGAAGGAACTCGAGGAATTTTTATTTTCATAAGCCCAAGGAGGGCTTTTTAAGGGAGAAGGGCTCAGAAAGGGCTACACTGTCAAGCAGCTTGAGCTTAGCTCAAGATTTAGAACCCCTCATGATCACTAGAACCTGGCTGAAGGCCAATGGTTAGATGGCTGCCCTCTCTTTCTGAGGGGTAGTGGACTTCAAGCAGCAAGCCAGAACAGATGGGGAAGGCCTTGGTGGGGCTCAGTTGGATTGGGATGACCCCAGAGGCAACCAGTTCTGGAATTCACTGGAGTTGTTGCAAGCAATGGGGCCTTGCTGGGAGAATTAAGGCCAGGCAGAACAAAGGAGGGGGCGCTCTGGATCCAGGGGGACGACGTGCAGCTCCCTAGGAGAAGAGAAGAAAAGGAAAGAAGTGAGGCATGTAGGAGAAAGTTGAAATTAAAATAAAAAAGGAAGAAGCTCAGGACCCAAGTGACCGGTGATGAGATCCCAGGTCCAGCCAGAGAATAAATTTATTGTGGTAACGAATGCCACCTTGCTGTTGGAGATATCTTCACGCCCCTTGATTTCCAGATTTATCCATAACATCAGACAGTCTACCTGCCAGTCCTTTTCTTGACACAGCTTAAACTCCTGGTCCTGTATGGCTTGGACCTTGGCTCTCCCCCAATTGCCCCCTTCAGGCCCAGAACAACACACAGCTCAGGGCTGCTACCTATCCTGAACGTGGTTTTATTTATTTTACCAGTCTCCACTGGCTGGCTGTTCTATAGAGGCCTCTGTTCCATGTCCCAGCATGACCTTCATGGAACAAACAGAACTTCCTTTTGAACAGGTTCACACGAGCATGCACACAATTTGACGTTTGGCAGTTTGCAGCCGAAGAAGGCAACCCTGGCTGGAGTCTTTGTAAAGCTGCAAGAGGCTGCTCTCCACCGGGTAGATGATGGCCAGGGCCTCCCTATCTAACGCAGGTCCTTTCGTACAATTCCTCACCCAATTTTGGAATGAGAAAAGTTGCTGCAGTCAAGCAGGTGCAGTGAGATCCTGGTGTTTCACAATTAAACCCTTGGTGCAACAGTGGGAAGTATGAACTAAGATTTGGACCAGCAACCCTATCGCAGACTTAATTTCTATTTGATTATTGCGGAGGTCATCAAAGGGCACATTTACCACAAAGCCCAGAAAGAAGATAGCCCTGAAATTAAGACAAGCCAACCTCCTCCACCCCCAAAATAGGAAGATTAGACGAGGGGAGGGGGGGACTCCTTGCCTGTCTCCAGTGTTATGTTCTCAACAAAGCAAGACTCCCCTCCCTTTTTTTACAGGTGAGTTATTTGTAAAACCCTAACCCTTTTAACCCCCACCCTTTTAGCCCTAACCCTCCCTTTTTTTTTTACAGGTGAGTTATTTGTAAAACAAACAAAACACAAACAAAACGAGCTTTCCTTTCAGATCAATACAGTATCTACATGAACAAGTCCTCTGCTCTCGAGGCCACTTGGATCTTACAGAAGAAAAAAAGACAAGAAAAGGGAACTAAAACGTTGCAGTAGGCACAGAGCAACAGAGGCGGCAATAGATTTTGAAAGCACAAGAGTCAAGAGAATCCAGCTGAAGTTAGATCACAAGAATGGGTATATTTTCATTCAGTCTAGAAGCAACTCACCAGTTCTGGATGTCTTCTATCTCATCCGAGTGGATAAACCTAGTGAGAATTCAAAAGGAGTCTGATCTTTTTAAAAGGCCTTTTCCTGAAATGATTCATTCTGTCCTTCTGCAAACACACCTCCAGCTAGGACAGTCTGCTTCCTCCAGGGTCTGTTGCATTACAGACTCCAACGGCCCTAAAGACCATCTTGCTCCAGAATGCAAGATGCAGCAAATAAAGACGGCAAGCCATGTCACCATCCTGGGGAACACCCCGATGTTGACAACTGTGCATTGCACAAATCAATCAGCCTTTTAAAGGACATCTAACAGATCCCCAATTCCCTTACATATTGCCAAACAGAATGCCAGGGGTATATGATATGAAAGCAGCTCAGCTTTCTTCTTCTTGTTCCCTTTTCGCTTTAAGTTGGAGTTGGGCAGCTATAATCAATTTAAAAAATTTTTTTTAAGTTCCCTGGCCCCCACCCCATAAGAAAAGGGGAAAGGAAAGTGTACGGTGGCCATAGGTTGGCTCTTACGCCGGATCGAGCTGCGCAGAGTTCCCTCCTCTTCATCAGGTTCCCCCGTCCTGGGGACAAAACAAAACCATCATGTAGGGTCTCCACCTGTTGAACTTTCATCACACCAGCCAGTGACAATTCTTTGCACACAGAACAGGTTTGGATCCTTACTTCGAAACGTGTTCTGTACCCCCCGAACCCCAACCAGTTCTGCAGCTCCTATCTTTACAGTGCTTCTGTTTCTCCTTTTGGTGAGCTGTTTCTATTCCAGCTGATTATAAACCAATGCACTGTCAAGATTTGGCTCCTTTACCAAGGATCGTTAGATGAACTTTGTCATATTAGAAATTGGCATCTTGAGGGTTTTTTCCCCCCTCCCCTCTCTAGCACTTTATTCTTTCGCACCATGTCTTTTTCCACAGTAAGGCTAAAAATCTTGCCTTGATACATCATGAGAATGCAATGCACTGGGAATCTTTCTGGCAGAGGATAAATGCACGCGTATCTGGGATGAGGTCAGTGTGTACGTGTAAGTGGGTGCACACGTGGATACCAACCAGAGGGTTTGGGTATAAAAGCTATGCTACAGCTCCCCCTGCTGACATCTGAAAGGAATAACAATTCAGCATACAGTACTAAAGGTAATGATAAACTACACCGTAATAAAGTCACATCAGGATGTGCAAATGGGCGCAGCACAAATCAGTAAAAATACCACAGTGGGAATTCTTGCCTTCCCTCCCTTCCTAGCACCATTTGGTTTGTATGCTTCATTTGTGTTAGAGAAGCATTTCTTAAGCCCAAAACATACAGGCAATTCCTCGAATCTGGAGCCACAGAGGGATCCCCCAAGGGTTAGCTTGAGCCCTCCTCTCTACAATGGTGCGGATCCTCACTTTGCCCCCAGCAGATTATTTTTAATTGCTCCCAAAGAGAAAAAAATAGAGAAAGGAAAACATCAGCATGAGAAGAAAGATTCTTGGTCTCTCTTGCGTCAACTGGAGGACTGTAAAAATGGCCAGCCCACTCTGCTATTCATGCCATGGGCTGCCAGGAAAAGAAGGCAGATTAAATACAGGCAGTCCTCGCTTACCACCTGCCTCATTCAGCAACTGTTCAAAGTTATGACGGTGCTGAAAAAATAATTTTACAACCAATGCCCGCATTGACGACCTTCTTAGCATCTCTCATTCACACGATCGCCATTACAGCCAGTACCTGTTCTCCTGGGCCTGACCTGTTGTTTTTCTTTTTTCCTCCCCTCACAGAGCAGAGAGATGGGAGAGGAAGGGATTACAAGAGAGTAAGTCAGCACACAATGGAGAATACACCTGGTTGTTTGTGTAGCGCGCTTGGATTGCCAGCACCACAACATTGCTTTTGCTGTGTATTCCCCATTGTGCGCCGGCTTACTCTCTTGTAATCCCCTCCTCTCCAATGAATGGAAATGCAAACATTAATTCCCTTCTTGCTAATTATCCCAAAGCCACAGTCAGCATTCTAAAGAGAGGGGGAGTGGTTAGGAGGCAAAGTGGAGGGTGTGAAACTGATTAGTCTTGTCAGTTTCAAGCCAGCTGTTCCCAGCACCTCGGTGAGCATTCCACAGGGCGGGGCACGGGGAAAAGGAAAGCACAATCACGGTCACCGGATTTCCCACTTAGTGACCACATCGCTTAATGGCACAGCTGCCAGTCTCAATTGTGGTCGCTAAATGAGGACTACCTCTATCTGGAGGAGGGAACATGTGGGTTATCCCTGTCATGCAAGCCAGGCCTTTGTGTTTTAAGAGCTGGAAAATGCCAGTTACGTTCCTACAGTTCTAGAAAAATGTTTCCTTTCCATGTTTCTGGGTACAGCAGCCTTTCCAAGATATCTGTGGGAGGGCCAAGAGGGGAAGCAATGTCCCCTGCGTTATATGGTCACTGTGCAAATGGCAGAATTTGAATCATTTCGGGGATGATGTGAGACACGTGACATCACTGTGGCTTCTCCTGGGTGCTTATGAGCGTTCCCCAGTGTGGCACCCTCCAAATGTCTGCAGCTACAATGTCAACATATCTGAAGGGTGACAGATGTGAGTAAGTCGTTGTAGAGTCGATTGTTAATCTGACAGTTGAAGCTAGCTAGGGAGACGATGAATCAATCCTTCTCTTTAGCCCTTAAACAATCTGTAGCATCCTTTTCTTCCCAAATTTCACAACTCTTATCTGCTACTAGCACCCCACAGCTTCCACATCTCCATTTTATATGTATAATCCGAATATTTCTAGCAGGGTCAAAATTAAAAGCCCATTTATAGGGTAATCATCTCCATCACGCTTGCACGTTAACCTTCTAATATCCCGTCTCTCCCAGCTTCCAGTCCCTGCACCCCAGAAAGAAAGCAATTATCAGCAGATGTACTAGTTCAGAGAATGAACCATTGTAATGGCCAGATTTTTCCCCAGCAGGGAGATAACAGAAAATGGAAATAAAAGAGAATAAAGAAAAAGCAGAGAGTTTCAAGGGTCTCCTAATAATGAAGATGCTTGAACAACATCCCAAAACATGCAGAACTACACCACATTATTAGGCTCCCCCCATTTCTGTCCATTTGATACAACACACATAACCACGGTTCCACATCCCCTCCAAATTAACTTTATGGGAGGATTATTACCTTTGCTGCTGGTTGAACTTGCACCGACAGCGCCGGCCTGGGAGAGGAAGAGAGATATCAAGAGTAGAGTGAGGAACCCAACAGAATCTGAGCAGGGATGAGTTTCTTGGAGAGAAGCACTATTTGAATCAGAACAGAAGAGAGCCTGCACAGAGAAGGCCCCAGACCATAATCATAATAAAATGCCCTCCAGTTTCCACTCTCTGACACAAGGAAGAGAGTTGGGTTAGTCTGCAGTAGCAAAATATCAGAAGGAGTCTGGTAGCACCTTTTCAGACTAACCCATTTTATTCAAAGGCATAAGTCTTGGATCCCATAACACAATGGTTGGGTCCAGACGCCGAGAGAAGTCCGAATCCACCAACCCAAACCACATTAGGGCTTTGCATGATGTGTGAACACAGTCAGTATAGCTTAAGTGTATTCTGATCCCAACTCACTGAGCCAGCATCCTGGGCAACCATTGGATGGTATGTACTCACTAAGGATAATGAGGATGCCAAGCAGAAACAGGACAACTGCAAACACCAGGCCTCCAACTCTCAGCGAATGGTAGTCTGGAGTGGAAAGGAAAAACAATGGGTTTGTCAAGCTAGGAATAGAAAGTGGCCTGGAGTTGGAATGGAGGACCCTATTTCTATAGGGCCTTTCCCCACTGAAAAGTTGACGTGCTCTCCACCCATCCCTGGATCATCAGAAAACTATTTTATTTCCATCGCGGATCCCTTCCCTGCCTCCTTTCTGAGCCCCACCCAACCCTTCCCCAAAGGAACAGTTGACAAGCCAATCAGACATTATGCTTCTTAATGCTCTCCTTGGACAGGGTCAAGATAAGGGAGGAAACACAATACTACTGATATAACCAAGGATGGCACAAGAGGAAGACCGCATGATGGAGACAAAGCAGAACATCAGTGTTACCACAGCTCGATTACGCTGCGGTTGGGTGCAAGTGGGCTCCCAGTATTGCGTTCCAGAGGTGTTCAACTACGGGTCCAACATCAGCAAATGTTTGTGGGCATCTTCCCACCCTTCTCTTCCTCTGCGTTGTTGCCCTATTAGCCTCGCGGAGCAAGAAGGGGGGGAAAGGAATACAAAGGCAGATCTGCATTGCCAACCAAAGATCTAACAGTAGCTTTTAAGCAGGGGGTGGGTGGGGTGTTTCCAAAGAAAGCATGAAGAGAAGGGTTAAATATCCTTCTGAAGCATTACTGTAGTCTTCAGAATCATCTGCCTGTTTCCAAATTAAATAAAAACAGGAAAAAAAATCCTTCAGAGATTTTTTATTTTTTATTTTTTTTGGCCTGGGCTTTGCTCCTAGCTCTGCCAGTTGCAAGGGATTTTTCTCGCTTGCAGAAAAGCCCCAGACAGACTTTCAGTAATGATTAACTTACCATAATTGAAAGGGTCATGGGGCTGATCCTTGGGGGACTCTGAAAGATACACACATAGGAAGAGATGAATTATGAAAGACAGAGAGATAGCCTTTGCTGTGCTCCCAAACCAGTTACTGCAATGGAGCTGTCATTCCTCTTTTCTAATCTTGATTAGAAAAAAGACAGCATGCAAGTCATGAATTTTAGTTCCTTGAAACCTAGCAGGACATATTTTTAATCTCTAAGGCTTCCACCATGCGGGTCTACAATAAAAATTGAAACTTTTCTGCACAAACCCACCCAATTACTATGTTCTTCATCTTCTTCTCCCACTCCCAACCTGGCGGAGATGATGTCACGTGCCTCACCTCTAAATCATTGGTAGAAATCAGCATTTAAGCTAGGACATCTACTCATGGAAATTACAACTGTTCATGGTCCACTTCCTATGCAGCTAGAGGTAGTCCTCATATAGCAACCACAATTGAGACTGGTAACTCAGTCGTTAAGCAAAGCGGTCGCTAAGTGAAACCACACTTATGGTTATGATCTTACTTCAGTTTTCCTTTGCTTTACAGACTGTGAAGGTCATAAATGCAAGGATTGGTTGTAAATTTACTTTTTCATTACTGTTGTAACTGCAAACAGTCACTAAACAAGGCAGTCGCTAAACAAGGACTATCTGTATTACAATTGCAACAGCCTCACTGTTTTTGCATCTTTCCACCTTTACGGGTACGTGCAGAAAAAGCCCATTCAAAAATCAGATTTCTTCCCAAAGACAGTATTTATTCGTTTCCTATTTATTTTTAAAAGCTGTACGTTGCCCAGATGTTTCAGATCTTTTTGTTTCTGTATAGATTCTCCCCCCCCCCCCCCCCCTC